GAAGGCAAGAATCGCACACGCATAAAATGAAGGACGTAGACTAGCTGCGCACGCGATGTGAGTTAGAACAGTGCAGAAAGAGATATCACAGTTTGTGAGTGTCTGAAGTAGGAGGAAGCAGAACTGTGAGGCACGAAGATGTAGAAAGTAATCAAATTAGAGAGGTTAGGTAGAGCAGAGTGGTGGTGGGAGGATAGCAGAGTGAAATTCGACGAGATAATTAGTTTGAGATACTAGTGAGTTTAAAAGGGCAGCTATCGAGTCTATGTGGGATCTATCGGAAAAATTAAATTCTGTTTAGGTCGATGCTTATTGCAAGCTCATGGTAATTCTATGAGTGTAATATTTGCGCGATCTGGATTATGAATTTATGAGTCAAAGGATACAACAAGGTTTGATGACTAACGCACACACACAACACTACACACAACACACACACACACACACACACACACACACACACACAAACACACCACCACATCAACATGCACACACCATGACAATCACTACATTCCTCTACACACACACACTTACACAATAAAAAACACATAACGCATTGGCGACAAAACATTAGAGGACGACAACACCCAACACACAACACAAACACTAACGCTAACACACAACAAACACACATACACCACACACACACACACACACACAACACACAAACTAACAAAAACAACACCATACCTCACACACACACACACACAAACCACACACATACACACAACACACACATACAAGCACACACACACACAACATACTATAAGAAACAACACATATAAACTACAATAACACATCTATCACACAAACACGAAAATCGAGAGATAGAAATCCATAAGAAAAATAATTATACTTTTACGAAATAAAATAATAACATTAATGAATTAATGTATCCAGAACAGCTATATAGTTAAACTTTAAGTAGTATAAAAAAACACACACAACGAACAAACACGCCACAACAAAGTAGGCAGCACAACACATAATAAAGATGATGATAAAAGATAAAGAAATAGGAAAACCAGAAATAGAGGACATGATAATGAATAGAAAGAAAAAACAAAGAAACAGAAATTATAACGAGATGATACCAAGACACAAGAAATTCATGGAAGGAAGAAAAAGTAAATAAAATGAAACGGACACACACTCCACAAACACACACACCACACCAACACCACAACACACACACACACACACACACGACACGAGCACAACACACACAGCCACGACAGCCTAAAATGATTACAAAATTAAGAAACAGGGAATAATAAGAATAATAGAATTAAAATAAAAATATAGCTAAGAGAAAGCATTACGGCGTGAACAAAAAATAAAAACATGCACACGCAAAATAATGATGATAAAAAATGATGAAAATCACAATACATGGCGACAACAAGGTGCGACTAAACGTTAAACTATGCGAGTTTAATAATGCACTATTCAAGAAGGATTAAGATTTTAGGAACAAAAATAGCCTTAAAAAATCACAACAACCAACAGCAAGCACAACACTGCACACACACAACGAGTTACAACATCATCACTTACATCAGAGCGAGCGAGCGAGCGAGCGTGCGAGCGAGAAGAGCGCCACACATCACACAAAGAGAGAGAAGAAAAATCCACCAGTGGCCACAAACACCATATACGACACACCACCAAACAAATACGACCAGAAAAGAATTTGGGAAAGAGAAAAAGACAAAAAAAAAAACCAGTAACTACAACACATCAAAACACGATCATCACCTATCACAAACAGAATTAAAAAAAAAAAACCCATAAAAAAGAAAGAAAAGAAAAAACAGCGTAAACACCCAAGAACTTTCAAAAAAACTAATCCCTTAAAATAAAGTAAAACAAAACACAAATCAAATCATAACACAAAAACACACATAAATGACATTAAAATATATATACAAGTGAAAAGAAAAAGAAATTGCGAAATTCATCCGAAGAAGCACCCAGCGCATTTGCATCCTTTGTCGCCCACTATACCCGACTAGATAATAACATACACTAATTCAATATAACACACCAACCGAGAGCTCTATCGCACTCATATATGAAAAACGGGGAAAGAGTCCTATCCTGTGTATTATCTGAGTTCTGGGACGCTGCCTCCTGGCGCGAGGAGAGATATCAGCGCCGAGAAGTAAGATCCATAGAAGAGGACCACACCTCATTTTATTAAGTGGTATCCATCTAGCGAAAATGTTAGTACATGGCCACTTGAGTGACACCATTCCACGATGTCCCATAGGACTCGCAGAGGAGTTGTGGTGATGTAGGGCGAGTAAGGAACACATGTCGAGATGGATCTGTCAAATCCGCCGACCCTAGTGATGTGAAGATTATCACAATAACCTATTATCAAACTCTATAATTCTATGTTTTCGTATTATCTTGTGTCTTGAGCGATTTCATCATTCTCTCCTTCTCCGTTCTCTTGTCGCGCTACAATTTGTGGATACTATCTTGTCTCCTATATATATCCCTTCTAGTCCGGTCCTAAGAGAATGAGCACTATATTCAAGAACAAAAGGGCGGAAGTTACACACTCATTTCCCACCGTCGTCAAGGCACCTCTCCTCTATGCGTACGCAAGTGCCCTATCTTCCCAGCTACACTTCCACCACATATACCCTTTCGCACACTGCCGTCCAGTCCTTCTTGCGCTCCCGTATATCCCCTCTTTCTCTCGTTCCCTATTTTCTGCCCACTAATTCCTAATTTCCTCTCGCTAACCGGTTCCTTGGTCCATCGTAGGTCTTCCCAATTTGACCATGCTTCACGGCTTCTCATTTTCTCCCATACCTCTGAGTTGGTCGAGTTCGCGTCTCCGTCTCTTCATCATCACTTACCTTCTACAATTAACTATAGTCCTGGTTTAACTAATCTGTCCCTATTCTATATATCTAAATACAAACACGCCCCCCCCACACACACACACATACACATACATACATATAATACATACACAACACACACACACACAACGAATAATAGAAAAACAGCACACACTAACCAAACAACAGGGATTCCGAAGCACCACACACACACACACCTACAGGACACACAATCCCACACACACAACCCACTTTACAATACCGCGAGACTACAGCAACCACACCAAATACCGGAAAACGAGTCCAGCCAAATGGCGGGGCCACTATCACGAACACCACCACACAGCACCGACGAGCGAGACACACACGGATATAGAGTAATTCCTACTAGAGTTACTGATGAGGTATACCTACCGTACGAAGAAATGCATAACTATTATATATATATCTGTGTATTGTGTGTGTTTTGTTGTGTGTCATAGATTAAAGCTCTATTGCACGTTTTAATAATGGGGCGTCTCTTAGACTCTTGCCATGACTGCCGCAGAGTAGAGCGCGTAGGAGGCGCTATATTAAATATATCTTCCAGAGTAGAGGAGGCATTTACATGTGAGCACAATCCACACATAGTGAGAGGTATCGGTGTATCATTAGTGAGTATAGATACGTTAATAGTTATTACAAATAACTTTATTTTTTAAATCTATTATTATTATTATTCTTCTTCCATATACTTCCTTTTTCCCACTCTTATATATACTCTTTGTATGTCTTTCTAATGTCTTTCTTTTCTACTGTTCCACCCGTCCTATTATCTTCATTCTCGTTACTCCCTCTATCTATTAGATTCCTGAATGCTAACCTGTCATATTCTATATACCATACATAAACTCTCTCTAAATATCCATGAAATGTTCTTCCGTTCCTCTTTTCCTCTTTACATAGGGTCACTACATCTATACCTTATCGTACCGTAAGAAAAAGAAAAGAAAAGAAAAAAAACACCCAGAAAAGAAGATGTTTTTAGATTATATACACCCAAAGATCCACTTACAATCCACTTTAAACAAACTGCGCTCCATCATTCACTCCACCCACCAGAAAATAGAGTCATGCTCCGAATCCCCTTCAGAAACTAGAAAGGCTCCATCATTCGGCAAATAAATGATCACACAAACTAAATATTCCTAAACGATCAACTCGAACAACCCATTACCATCTTCAAGTTCATCTTCCCTAAATTCCCCCCCTGACCTTGTCATTAACTGCCTCATTTCGACCCATCCTGCTGTTAAGAAGGATTCGTAATATCGTTTCTTGACGAAATGTTCATATCCATATCTCATACGTTACACGTAAAATTAATACTACAAGACGGTACACACCTACTGGGACAGAAAAATTCAGGTAAAATATAATGTAGATTCACCACGTTAGACGTTGCATTCCCCTATCCAATAACCTCCTACGCGAAGTTAATGAATAAACCAATACAGAGAAACGAGTCAGGTTTGTTGCGCGCCTGTGCACAATGGTAAAAACGGTGGTAACACTTATTCTGTTAATATCCCATAAAGACTAGAGGCGTCGGCGTACCAGGTGAGAAGTTCCCTGAAGAGTCTGAGGGGCCCCCGCGAAGAAATATATGGCAAAAAACTTAGAGTGGCACTCACGGAGCAGGGCCCTTGGCTGCGGTGTGAGCATATAGATTAAAACAGAGTAGAGCGGAAGATAGAGAATCATATAGTGGAGTAGGATTTATGGTTGAGCAACTCAGGCTGACTATCGAAGCATATGTAAAGGTATTATCAAATACTTCTCATTTTTCCTTCTTCTTCTCTCCCTTCCCCCAACTTAACCTGCCTTCATCTTAGAATTGTGACATTCTACAACCTTATCCAGTTCGTCCTCTTCTTCTAGCCACCATATAAACCAAAATTAGAAAACTTTACCACCCACAATCGTGGCCTCCTACAAGAACTCGTCCTACCTCAACATAAATTACATCACAATGATAAAACTCGACCCTCATAACCTTCCCCTCACCGCGACACTCTCTTCATTACTTTTTTTTCCCAACCCCTTCTTCCTCTCCGCGCGAGAATTCGCGAAACCTCGCTAATTTGATAATGCCTTAACACC